CGACTGCCTTCGGCTCAGGTCATGATCCTGGAGTCCCGGGATCGAGTCCCGCATCGGGCTCCCTGCTCGGCGGGGAGTCTGCTTCTCTCATGTGCGCTCTCTCTCTCATTCTCTCTGTCTCAAATAAATAAATAAATAAAAATCTTAAAAAAAAAAAAAAAACAAAACCAAACCCTTGTCATGTGACCCCAGCTTGTCCTCCTAGAACCCATCTGGTCCCTGGTTCGGTTTGTCGGCCTTACCCATGCCTTTGTGACCAGGCCTGGCCCCTGCCTCTGTGTGCTGTGCTCTCTCAGCCGCTGACCAGTTTGGCCTGCCCGCATTGGTCCTCACACATTTTCACATTCCTGTATCTCTAGAGGTTGGTTTGTATTCCACTGGGTGGATTTGAGAACTTGTTTCTTTCGTGGTGGGGGAGAGGGAGCTTTTACTGTTGAAATCGATGTTCGTGTCACGAGCTTAAAGCTCCGCATCCATCTCGCAGCCGCATGATGTCCCACAGCCAGTGGAGTTCTGCACGTGGACGTGACCTCTGCTCTTTGACTCTTTTCAAGGTACCGGAAATTGGCACTCAAGTGGCATCCCGATAAGAACCCTGAGAATAAAGAAGAAGCAGAGAGAAAATTCAAGCAAGTAGCTGAGGCATATGAGGTGTTATCAGATGGTGAGTTGACCTGTCCAGAGCTGGGGCTCTCCCCAGGGCCAGTGGGGTATGGATGTGGCTGGCTGAGGTACTGGGCACCGAGAAAAGAAGTTTCTTACTTTTCTTGTGAAACTTTGAGTCCTATTCCTGGCAGATACTTGAGAGTTAACTTGTGCTGTAGAGCACCCTGACTTCTAGCAGTTCTTTCAGGATGGCTATTTTATTTTTAAAGATTTTTATTTATTTGACAGAGAGAGACACAGCGAGAGAGGGAACACAAGCAGGGGGAGTGGGAGAGGGAGAAGCAGGCCTCCTGCCGAGCAGGGAGCCCAATGCGGGGCTCTATCCCAGGACCCTGGGATCATGACCTGAGCCGAAGGCAGATGCCACCCAGGCGCCCCGGAAAGCATAGGCTTTTGAAAGTCCCACCCATTAGCCTGGTTTCATGAATCAAGCAGAAGGTGGGCTGTTAGCCAGAGTCAGTCAGCAGATTCTTGGTGAAGAAAAGAGTGTGGGTCCTGGGCTTGGGAGAGCAGTGTGGAGCTTTTTTAGAAGACTGGAAATCTGCTGACACCGCCTCGCCAGGATGCAGCATCGAATGACCTGGTGTGAGTCAAGGCAGAGGTACCCAGGATAGAGTAGGACTCACTGGCTGCAGGGCGTGGGTGCTCGCCTCAAGTGTGTCCACATGTGGTCAGGGTCACTAGTGAAAGGCTTTTTTTTTTTTTTTTTAAGAGAGACATAGTGACAGAGATAGGGAGAATTCATGCGGGGGATGAGAGGGAGAAACAGGCTCCCACTGATCAGGGAGCCGGATATGGGGCTCCGTCCCGGCGCCCTGGGATCATGACTGAGTCGAACGCGGACGCTTAACCGACTGAGCCACTCAGGCGCCCCGTGAAGGGCATTTTTTATTTTAGAGAGAACTCCATGTAACCATCACTCCCCTTCACTGCTTAACAATACGTTGAGCATTCTTGTTTTATCTGTTAATACATCTCTTTTACTTTAAAGGAAATCCCAGATCTTTTATTTCACTAGTAACTTGTTACTAGAAAACACATAAACACTGATAATTGCAATCTTTTTCAAATGTGGCATTTAAGGTCTTAAGCTGATAGTGGGTTCTGTCTTTTTTTTTTTTTTTTTTTTAAAGATTTTAGTCATCTGAGAGAGCCCGAGAGCAGGGGTGGGGGAGAGGGAGAAGCAGTCTCCCTGCTGAGAGGGAGCGGGACTCCGTCCCTGGACCCTGAAACTACCACCTGAGCTGAAGGCAGGCGCTTCACCAGCTGAGCCACCTAGGCGCCCCTTATACTGGTTTTCTGAACTGGACTGACAGCACCGTGGGACCTCCGTGTCGTTATTTGTTTGGTCCTTGTTTGTGTTGATCCAGCACTTCTGGATTTGTGGATTCACAGATCAGGAACATTAGAAAAATGGAGGACTAAACCCAAACTGGTTTTTTTATTTTAGTCAAGTGATTAAAAAAAAAAAAAATTCAACTCAAAGTTGATTTTTGTCAGGAAGAGAACCTTTAAATTCTCATAGAGACGCTGTTGTTTCTCATCTCTCCCCTTTTCTGAGGGAGAGTGTCTTTCATGTTCTCTTACGCAGCCTCTAGCCCAGAAGTTCCCTTCGCAGGTGTGGTTACCATTCTTACTAGAGCTCTGGTAGTAGAAATGAACTGGCTTTCAGTGGTTTGCTTGTGCATGTTTCCCCATAACATCTGTTATTTTACCTCACAATTTGGTAAAACCTGGTATTTTGGGGGAAAACACGTGTCAAAGGCTGCAGGGTAGTTGTTTGTCTAGAAGGTAAATAGAAGACAGAGGACAGCAGAGCATCGTCAAGGCTTGGTTGGGCTGTTGCTCTTCCAAGGGGATTAAGCCTGTGGGGTTAGAGTTGGCGCCTCATCTGGCTTTCCGTACATTGGTTTCCTGCCCCACCGAGTCCCCATCCTGTTTCTCCATGCCACAGATCTTATCCCCCGTAGTTGGACTTGGTAGTAAGAAGGTACACATTTAGAATTCGAGTAGTTTTAGAACTTGCAGTGTGATTTTAATGTTTGCATGAGCCACGTGCTCTGTGTACAGTAGGCTGAAAGAAATACTTCAGCATTTAAACTGCCTACTACTTAAAAATTTTTCCGAGTTTTTAAGGAGATCCCTCTTCCCTGTTTTTATTTAAGGGAGGCCAGACTCTTTAAAGCTAACTGTGAAACCTTGAAAACTGCATTGGTTCCTTGGTTTACAATTTGGAAATACTTAGGTGAATTTTAAGGGGAAAAGAACTTGTTCTTTACTGACTCTCCTTTTTAAATTTATAGCCAAAAAACGGGACATCTATGACAGATATGGCAAAGAAGGGTTAAATGGTGGAGGTGGAGGTACGTAAATGTGGATTTTTTTCTTGGCTTGATAGTGAGCAAGGGAGGCCATCTGGCTACGGGAGGTCTTGACAAGGGGTTGGATTTGTCAGTTTTCTTGGACCGGGGCGTGTTTCAGAAACACACATGCAACCTGGAAAGGGGGTGGATTGTGGAGGAGGAGGTGAGGTGGACCACATTGAACAGCCTCGTGTTAGACGACGATGGTGTGTGCGGATGTGCTGTTGGTAGATACGGAGTCCATTACGACCCTGCTCTGACACACTGTGGGCTTGTGCTCCCAGATCAGTACCTCATCCTGGGTCAGAATATCCATAGGGCTTAGAGAACAGACGGTACCCACAAACCTGAGGGCTTGTGGCCGGCGGCAGCCCCACATGGGTGCGTGTGTTTGATGAGAAGTGCCCGTGACAGCCCGCGCCTGCTCAGCCCCTTGGCGGGCGTTGGGATATTAGTGCTGCAGACTGAGCACAGACCCGGCCCGGGTGACGAGCGCGAGTGAATGTTTCCTTGCTTCGTGTACATGACGCTTCACGACAGAAAATGCTTTCCTGTGTGTGGATGGTCGTGGTAGAGATGGTGAGAAAGTGCTAGTGACCACGCCGCTGTGACCTTCAGGAGTGCGAAGCGTGCGCTCGAGTCTCCCCACCAGTCACAGGCTGCGAAAAAAGCCATGGGTGTATGACCCATTTTTTTTTTATTTAGGTCCCAATTTATAGGATGTTTTGTAGATAAGTTACTGCCTCCTAAACGCAAGAATTCAAAAACTAAAAGCTCTATTGTATTTCGTAGGTGGAATTCATTTTGACACTCCGTTTGATTTTGGCTTCACATTCCGTAACCCAGATGAAGTCTTCAGGGAATTTTTTGGTGGAAGGGACCCGTTTTCATTCGACTTTTTCGGTAAGTTCATTGTTCTGTTGGCATGACCATGACTCCGCTGAGATGGGCATCCTTTTCTGTTCCATCACCATGGCACCCTGTTGTTTGGCTTTGTTTAAGCAGTGTAGGGGTTCTAAAATCCATTTTTCTTCCTCTCTGGCAGAGGTTTCTGAGTGGACGCTGTGCACGTGAAAATAATAAAGGTTTAAACGTATTCATTGTCTTCATTATGTATGGCCCTAATTAACATCTTTTTTTGTCCTCAGTTAGACAGTGGTAAGGATGCAGGTGCTGGGAGCTTGAGGGTGCTGCTGGCTTTTGAGCATGGAGTTCTACGTGAATTTTCCCCGAATTGTTCTGGGTACACACTGGGCATTGTAGCAGATGTTGTTCAGAGGACATTGGCTCTGTAAACCTGTGTCTGTTTCTCTAACTGGGGGCATTGTGACTGTTGAGTTCCCAGTGGGTGAAAAGAAAGGACCTCTCTAGAGCAAGGCAGCGCGGGTAGTCCTGGCCGAGAGTAGTTTTTGCTAAAGGAGACCGTTCCAGCTCCTGGGTCCTGCAGAATGGATTTTCCCATCAGCTGCACCTCTTAGCCGTGACGCCTGGGCCAGCTTTTTGTGTGTGTCTCCAACGCAGGTGGGGTGGGGAGTGGGTGTGGCCGCCTGCTGCGAGGGCTCCTTCGGCACGGCTGCGGAGCTGCCCCGGGTGCCGGGAAACTCGGGTGCCGCAGCCGTTTCTGTGTTGGCTCACTGTGGGTTCCCCAGCCTGTGCTTCCATCCTTTGTGGCCTGGAGCCTCGTCGGAGAGCCCGACCACCACCTGCTCCCCTCCAGGGGGACCAGAAGAGATGTTCTGTCTGCACATGATGGGGGAGAAACCAGTGGACCCTTGTGCATCCTAGGCATGAAGAAAAGTAACTTGCTGCCATGTCTGGTAGGTATCGGGGCCTTTTAAATGGTGTGGCCCCGGAGTTTATTTCAGATGGGGATTCAGAGAGATTTTCCTTCTTTCTTACTGTGGTTTGGCTTGACTTGAAGAGAGTAGCTGATGGAGGGTGCTGGGTAGTAGTATAATATGTATCAGCATGGGTTAGTTTTTCATCCACAGGTGTTACAGTGAGGCTAAGTTAGGGGTGGAGAGGAGATTGGTCTTTCGAAGACTTCAGCTTTAATGCTGCTACCATAGGCAGCGTATGGATCGGGAAGGCGTCCCTTCCCGTTAATATATGAGATACGTATATTCATTCTTTATTGATTGGCTTTTGTGTATGTAACAGATCTCACCATAAGAAAATACAAAGAATTTCGTGGTCTTCCCTGTGTTAAAATTTACTTTTGTGTCTCGTTACAACCTTTAGCGAACCGCACATGGGTTGTTTTGGGGGAGCAGGGCAGTGTTGGGTGAATCTCTTGGTGGCCAAGTGAGGATCTTCTGCCACCGAGGGTTTCGGTTCTAGTGCACATCACGGGGTGTGGGGCGGGGGGTGGCAAAGCAGGCTGACTTCTAAGCCTGAGGCCCAGCATGCTTTATATCTTCATGATTTGTCTTGGGGAAGAGTCCATTAGTGATTGAATTGTAGCCAAATTTTGTTTTCCTTGGGAAAAGAGTTTGACAGGCCAAGCTTCCTCAATAGGAATGATTTTCACTGAGCAGTTGTTTCTAGAGTGAAGAAGGTATAGAGATTATAATTGGGTGTAAATGAGAAAGTGATTACAGTTTTTTGCCTACTATAAGATATTTAAACCTCTTGACTTTCCTATCTTGTAAATTGTGAGATATGTGTATATACAGAAATCTTTATGTACACGTGTAGTTCACGGACGTTGTGGACATGAGGCACATTTTGGTGGCAATTTCTTCTTTTGGACTGTTTAAGAGATAACTAGTCTGCTGTAATTCAGACTCTGGGCCCTCGGTTTTAGATGCTGAGGTGCTCAGATTTTAAGAATAGGCATTTCCTTTATGTTTCCCATGATCAGTGTAGCAGTGATACTTCTTCAATCCATTCTTGTAGGTGTTGTAGGTGACTTCCATTTTCAGGCTCTCCGGATTTACACACAGGAAGAGAAGCTTCTCCATGGCTACTACATGTATGAAGTAACGGTACAGCCTGCTGGGGGTATGTGTAGTCTGGATCTTCATGCAGGGCTGGGGCTTTCTCATCTGGCAGTCGTTTCGTTGATGGTCACCAGCATCTGCATCTTCTTACTCGGCCCTGTTGTGATGTCCATTTGTAGTAGCACAAAATTTTTAGTCTAAATTTTTCACACTTTTTTTTGCCCCCTCTCCTGTTATGCCTTCTAAGAAAAGTAGGTCAAAAATCGAAGACAGTCTGAACTGCACTTTGCGAGTATCAGAATATAAAATTCCATGTCTGACTCCCAAAACGAAAGGGGACAAAACTTCAAAGAGCTAGTGAGCAAGCCAGTGGGAAGGATCGAGGTGTGAAGAGTGTTGGACAGACTGTATGCAGATCTGTGCCCCAGGACACATCAGTGAGGACTGTCAGGTGGTGGTAGAGTGCTTGGGCCTGGGGCCTTGCTGATGCTGAAGCCCTGTGACCACAACCCCCCCCCCCCCGGCAGTCACGTGGATTCCAGAACCTGCTCAGAGCCCTTGGCCCTGAAGTCGAGGGTGCAGGTCATACCTTTGCAGGCACCTGATTTTGTTTAAATCTTTTCCCAAATATTGAGCATGCCAAAATGAGCTCTTGTCCAAATGCGAATTGGAAGGGATTGCATTAACTTGAGTTAGGGTGATCTGTTCATTGTTGACTTTTACAGGACACCATTACTCAACATTCTAAGATGGACAAGTAACTAATATTAGTATCTTGCAGTCATTAGAGGCCCAGCAGGGATAGCGTTTGGAAGAATTGTCTGGGTATAACTTAACGTTTTTATTTACTTCTATTCGCATGTTAGAAAGTAAGAGCCAGGGGTGCCTGGGTGGCTCAGGTGGTTAAGCGTCTGCCTTCGGCTCAGGTCCTGATCCCAGCGTCCTGGGATTGAGTCCCGCATCGGACTCCCTGCTAGGCGGGGAGCCTGCTTCTCTCCCTCTGCCTCTGCCTCTGCCTCTGCCTCTCTCTCTCTCTCTCTCTCTGACTTTCATGAATAAATAAATAAAAAAAATTAAAAAAAAAAAATTGGAGCCAAACTTGAAAACCCATTCAGTTCAGCCCGTTTTCCCTTCATGATGGCATCAGTCCTGTAAGGCTTGTCTGTGAAAGACCTGCCGTCGCGGCAGACACGGATACGGCCTGTCAGCTCAGGGAAAGTGGGCTTTTTTTTTTTTTT